TGCCATTATTTACGATGGCTAATTCATTGGCATGAGAGAATCCACCGGTCAAATTTGACAAAAAGTTTGATTGAATATCATATTCAGCTCGTTTCCAAGAAGCTAACAAATGAGCCAATGATAAACCAATCAGCTAATGCAAGCAGGACCTCGTTGCTCCGCCTGAACTCAGTGCTCCATAATGATACACAGCCCATCCACCGGGACTTTAAGGGAACTTTGCTGGAATACTAATTGGAAACCCTCTCACCACCTGGGAAATGTACGGCACATCGCTTGGCAGGTTGATGTAAGCGTTCTGGACTCGTGATCCATAACGTATCCACTAATATCCACCTAGCATATTCAGTCACTCTGCTAGTTTACCGTATACCATAAATACTGGTCATTCAGAGAACAGCTGCACGCGCCGACTCTGGGCAAAAGCAGAGTGATTGAGTAGCACGGGGAGATGTGACATTAATAGACCTTAAGCTGTTGACCTAGAAAGAGTGTTTCATGATTAATTGCTCAGTCGGGCATAATCCCAACAGGTAACACACTGAAGGGGGTACTCCCTGTTTCATGGGTGGGTGACTCACTGGGATGCAAAACTCAAATTCCTGTCCCAAGGTGAAACTTACTAACGTGATTCAGGCACAGAGCAATATTCTGCCAATGTAAAATAGTTTCAGAAGCCAGGAGACTTCATCCATTCTAAAGCCATTACTAACCACTGATATTGACTGAAGGACCGGTCCCGTCTTTCCTGGCTCGCACTCGGGCGCGACCGACAGATCACCAGTCCATCCTTGGCGCCAGCCTCGTCGTTCATTTATGCATGAAGCTGCTCTCCCTGCAGCCACTGTGGCCGCCAACCTCCCTGACACCAGCGCCGCATCGGGGGCAAGAAAGGAGCGCCGCTTTGGAAATAATGAGGTTCCCCCCATTGTGAAGAAACAGAATTGTAAAAGCCTTCCTAATAGCTTTAAACTGCTTTTCACCGTGTGGCTGGTGTCCAGGAAGGGGGGGGGGGCGTTGCGCAATAGTGCAGGAAGTAGTGACGGGCAGGACACGTGAATGCCAGCAGGAGTAGTGATTTGCAGAGGTGTGCAGATTCCTGGACTGATGATGTAAGATGCAAGATTTTGGTTGCAGTGTCGGCCAATCCCTCAGCAAAATGGCGGAATTACTCCAAAATACAAACACTGGACTTTTATAATGTCAGCAGCGGGTTCAATCACGTTGAGGCTCTATTCAATTAAATATTTTTGTTTGTGATTCACAATACGGCTGCACTGGGTTTTGTTTTAGGCGTGGTTATGGAATAAACATTGAGTTTATTTTAATTGAACCACCTGGTTTAACTTTTTGACAACAGACCTCCAGAGAGGAGACACAAATTCCTCACACCATCTCGTCTCTGGGCCCGACACTCCCCCCCCAAGAACAAATCCACTGAGCAATTGAAAAATAGCTATTCTGTGTGAACGAGGAAATATAATGTATTTGTAGAAATGGTTGAAGACAGAAACAGGGTCATTTCAGAGGCATAGTTTATGTCAAAGAGCCTAGCTGACCTCGTGCCATTGTTTTGCAATTCAAAGCCGCCATATGTTCACAGAACTTATTTAGTTTATTTAGATTCAGGCAGCAAAATCACTTAGCAAGGTTTGAAATGGTCATGTTTGGGGTCAAACTAAGTATGTAAAATAAGTAAAATACATATGCAAAAAAGTAAACAGCAACCTGTCACAAACAACACTTACTAAATCGCCCTTGATGCCCTTCCTTCAATAGCGCATCCATGAAACCGTGAAAGAGATTACTTTCATTCGTGGCCCATTTGAAATAAACACCAATACAACGTGTTCGCACAAATCCATCTGTTGGGCAACGATGCTGCATGTAGTTCAAACACATGTGTACTTCTTCACAGAAGAGCTGTTACAATTCTGTTGATTCTGTTTTTTACCTTGGCTTTTTTCCATTCTATATATTTTTTTTTTTTCATTTTTACACTTGAGCCCGAGCTCGTCACACCAGTTTGCGGTGGCTTCACAAAAAACATTTGCAGGGGACTGAATACTAACTGGGCAAGTAAGCAGAGTGGCTGCCAATTCCACTGCTTACATTATGTCTGATGCACAGTACGCTGCCACAATTACGCTGAAATTAAAAGGTTGCTGTGGTTGCCAGAGACGTATGGCTGGCTTGTTAGGACCGTACGCTGTGTTTGCTGATTGGCTAATGGTTCTGTAACTATTGAAGCATTACACAATAAATATGGAATAAATACGCTATTTTAGTTAAATCAGTTCCGCAGATTGGGCGCCACAGGAAAGAGATGCCGTCATGCCTCTCAGTGCTCATACCGTGGATGATGCAGCCTCCACTGTAACAAGTGTATCTAAAGTCTGCTGCTGCAGATTGGTCCTCTCGAGGATTTCATTTTGAAAGAGGGCCACTTAAGTGATGCGGCGCGTCAAATTGACAATCATGAAAGGTAGCACTAAGCTAAGTGCAGACTCCTGATTAAGAAAGCCTGCAGCCAGAGACGCAGAGTGAGGAGAGGAAATGGGAAAATGGTGCTAAAGAAAACTAGCCAGCCATGAAATGCCAAACGTTTACACCTGAGAGATGGTAGGAAACAAGCGGGACAGGAAGACAAACAAAATTAGCAGTAGTTGCATTCTCTGACACAACCATTTCATCATATATAACAAAACTATATAATCCAACACTTCTTGGTTTGCTTTTTGTCCCTACAGAATAACTACATTTATTAAATATTTTCTATTTCTATTACAGCTATCTGAAGATTACAGTCGTGTTCCTGCAGACCTCCACAAGCTTGGAGAACCACCCCCCCGACTCCATCTTTTCATTCCAGAAGGAGCGCCCGAATGAGGGAGCATGGGAGAGAAATTAGCTACGAGTTCATTGGCTCAACTACAAAAGGAGCAGATAAAAAAAGGGTTAGATGATTGAACTCCTCTTTCTTCTTTGTAGCAGGCGCACAGTCGCTTTGATGCTATCTCTGTCATTCAAGCGGCGCACGGCGCCCTGGGTGCTTCACACAAAAGGATGTGATGCAGCACCGGAGGCCTTGAATGGAGTTTTCCGTCTAATTCCTAAAAGAGTGGCACTCTACTTTTGATCCATCTCATCTGCTAAAAAAGAATTAGCGTCCCTCATTATCAAAGCCCATATTCACAGGCAATGCCATTGAAATGTATCATTGTGAAAGAATACAATATGACTCTATTAATTCTGGTTAATAAAAAGGACATGGCTTCTGGGAAATATGGGCCAAATACTTTTTTTTGCATATTATCCCTGTTGCATATTATCCCTGTATACTCTGCACTCCACCAACTTCGAAGCAACTGCCGGATTTGTACAACCTTCAAAGTTGTTTCTCAAAAACGTAAGTGCAATGTAACCAAATGTCCCTGATGGGTCGAAAAAGGTGAACTGTCAAATCCTTGCTTGCGGATGAGCGGAGTGATAATGGGAGGAAGGGATGTACATTTGCTCATAGAGTAGCATGGAAGAGGGAATGGTGGGGGAGGAGAGTTTAAAACATCTTCTAAGGCTGCCATCACCACACTAATCTACACGCTGAAGACCAAAAAGAGACCTTGGAGTGGGTGGCTGGCAGTTGTGGTCTGATCGGAGCCTCCATTAAGACAGAGATATGGTGCAAATGGAGGAGAAAGGAGCCGGGCCAACTGAGCCAAAGGAAGACATTGCTCTCGACCAGGGCTTAACCTGTCCAGCGGACTCAATAACAATAAGGGTCTCTGAACGTAACATAATCACAGTTACAAACCCTGCAGTGAAAACCACTGCAGGTGAACTTGAACGGCAATTAGTAGCTGCATTTATCAGATAAACGTTAATACATGTTTTCACAGCAGCAATATTTTAACTTACTACAGACCAGAAGTAATTGGTGATCAAAATCTAGGAGTCAAAAACAACTCATAACTATTGAATGCTGCAAGTAGAGAAGAATGGAAATCATGCAAGCATATTGCAAAAAGACAATAATGCTTTATTGGTAATTTTGGTAAAGATTGTTTTTTTGCATTCCCTCGCTGGCTTAAGTCTACATTGTGCAGTAGGAGGACCAAGGTAATGAATGAAGAAGCTGATGAATCCCCACTCGGAGGCTTAGGAACATGAGGACAGCAGAGGGGGGAGGAGACAGTGATTCTGATGGATTCACCTGTCTGGAGGAGGAGCGCTGCTCCCAATGTTCTTCCCTGCTGATTGATTTGAACGACTGGGACAGAGTGGAGAAGTGAGACGAGAACCACTACCTTTGCAGGCTGAGGACTTATCACCGCCTCGGTCGTCTATAGCCCCACAGATGCCTGGTTTATTTTGATCAAGGCTGCTCAATAACAAGCGGCTGACCACCAAGAGAGAGAATCCCTACTCCTCAGATCGCCTACGGAAGTCTTAAAACGGTTCTGCATTTCTGTTACTTTACAAAATGCAAAACATATTTTTCAGAGAGTTTATCTGCCAAAAGCATCAATCCAAAGTGTTCATCTGCCAAAAGCATCAATCCAAAGTGTTCATTTGCCAATAGCATCAATCCACCGTAATATTAACACATTTTACGGATTTCATTTTGGAATAGCACATATGCAGATTTAACAGAGAGAGGGAGATTCACTCCTGAATTATGTCACTGGATGAAAACTATTTTAACCCGATGATTGGAAATCTGTATGCACGACTTTCTGCTAAATGGGATCCTAACCTTCAGACCAAATCGCAAATTGTGGGAAACGTCTGAGACACGTTCAGGGCTCCCTCATTGTAAATATGTGTTTTGCTTGCTGGATGAAAAATATGTTTATCTATACATATTTTTGAACATCTATGTTTTTGTATGAACCCCACAAACAATAAAGGTGTTTGTAAGTGTTTAGACGTGATGACAGTGTGTACATTGCCAAGTTATGCTCAGAGACTTTAACAGCAGAATAGAAACGCCTGCTTACTGATGTGTACACATGGCCCTCCCCGTTCATGGCGATGTATAAACCTGTCTTCACGGACTGAATGGCGACGACTCTGAGGCCCACAGGAATGAGGTTGAACAAAGCTGAAAAACACACAAGTGAAGAGGCAAACGCTCATACACACGTATACATCACTGAACAGCATTACCATAGACATATCTCAACATCCAGGGAAGATTAAAGACTGGGAAATCATTGTGGGATTCCTCATCCAAAGCTGCCTGTCATTTGTACGAAACAAGTGTAATAATGTGATCGCTAGCTGTAGCATTTTGGTAATTGCTGAAGATGCATTGTATTGGGGAACGTGACTAGCCTAGCATAGCTGCCAGCGGCCTGAGCTGCTATAGATGCCACCGCTGGTGTGTAGCAGATCTGACAGGCCTTTGTTCTGCTGTAGCCGACTCCATGGGGCTGGCTAGCTGGTTTGTACTAGACTGAAACAACAGGACTGGTCTAAAAGCTACATAATGACAGCTGACCCCGTAAGTAACTGATATCGGCTGGTATGGAGGCCGGGAGGAAGGAGAGAACTGCTGCCGACAGACTAAGTGACGCAATGTGCAGTGTCGGGCTAGCGTTAGCACCAAGCAGGGGAAACAAATTAACCACCTAGCCTGCAGCGCTCTAGAGGAGCAGTGCCAGAACAAGCTAATAATACCATTTTCTCCCTGTTAAGCCTATCGTTCCCTGGTCCACTTTCCCTCTCAGAGGGAAGGGTAAGGCTGTGTGGTACTAGAGCTGTCATTTAAGAAGACATTTCAGCTCCCAAGGCTGAAAACTGAAGGGAGGTATTGGAAAATTATAGTAGCATAACTGCAAGGTCACATTCCACATGAAGAAATGTAAAAGTACCTGCTAGTAAAACAGATGTAATGGTTCTTCCACTTTAAGTATTTACTTGATCGTTTTTTTGAGTGTCATCTTGTCAAATGTTGCATCTAGGAGCCCATCAGAGACTGTCAAAGGTACTCACAGGAATTACTGCTGTCATCCTTGGTCCCATCAAGAGAGCCATCGGGGTTCATTTGCAAGTAGTATCCCTGCCTGCAATATAACCTGGTCACTATACCCTTGAGCTGGGGATCTGCAGAAGAGAAAGAGGAAGAGAGGAAACAGGACACATTAACCATCAGAAAAACGATGAAACCTTCACTACAGTGGCCCCCGGGGCAAACCAATTAAGCTTCAACTGCTTCTCTTTATTATAGCAGTTATTTGATGTTGTTTTCCGATGGGTTTTCATCAGCAACACTCAATGAAACACAACTGCTCCACAGTTCTTGGACTCCTGTGTAGGCAAGTCCCACGGCTAACTTTCTGGGAGCATAAGCCTTGCCCTGCACAGAGATAGGCCATCCAATTACAGGCAGTGGAATTAATCTGCAGTCACCCGACTCCCATAATGAACCAAACAGCACCCTCCCGGGGGCCTCGGCGTGCAAGGATGTAAAAGCGTATGTGTTCCAGCTAACCCGATGGGGGATTTAGTCACATAACTACCAACAGAAAATAAACCACCTGTGGTTGAATTGCCCAGAGATGCTGCAGCTGAATTTACCTGCCGTTTTTTTGTGGGTTTGTAATAATGTGAAAATTGGTAAAAGTAAAGTAAGGAAAAACTAAAAAAGTAAACATTTTGATGAACCTGCATGCGGCTGCACATTTGGACGCCGCTGCAAACTTATTGCTTCTGCACAGACAATATTTCTTCATCTGTCCGTTTGTCAGTGTGTGTGCACGGACAACTGGGGTCATATACCGTCAGCATTGGCCTTATTGTAGAGACAGCCATCGCACCAGATTTTATTCTAAGAAAGCCCTGGGGGGGGGTGGGGGGAGGGGGTGAACAATCAACTTCACCTGAGCCTAAATCTTGCCCCTAGTGTGTGCGTGTGTTTGCATGTGTGTGTGAGTGAGTGTGCGTGGGTGTGAGAGAGAGAACGACGGAGAAAAAACAAGACTGAGAGAGAGAGAGAGAGAAAGGAGAACATAAGGGGTCTCACTGAGGGCAAAGAGAGCCTTTTTTTCTCTGTGTGCAGCTCAAGGCGGTTTCTGAAATGGTCTCTGCTGCTGGGTGATGGCATGAGACCTTTCCATGCTGCCTGAAAAAATGGGGCCATGATCATTTCTCTGTTAGATGTGTTTGATATCCGATGAATGCATGCCGGGGTCGGTGTTGTGTCCTTGAGAAACACAGACATGCATTTGTTCATCTGTCGACAAGTCTGGCATTCCTGTTTTCTCCTGTTGCCCGCCTGCAAATTCATGCCTGGGCTGCAGATAACAGACATTGTCATATTTGTTTTTTCACTAAGCTGTACTGGTCTGAAAAATATATTAATCTACTCAAGCAAAAGAAAAAAAGAAAAAATTGTACCCTATGGCCGAAATTTAGAGGATAAAAAGTCCACATTTGGACATGTGTAGCAGGGTTCAGGCACTTGAACAGATTGGGTAGTGAGTGACATGTGTTGCTGTTCCGCAATAGCACAAATGAGCTGATGAATGACACGATGAAGTGATATCGGTGCAGACACCCAATACATGTAGTAGGTGGTATGGGTGGCATTTCTGAGAGTCAACTATACCATCATAATGCACGGAAGGCCCTGATGCTGCTTGTGGATTTTTAATGACATCCAGAAAAATGTGAACAAGACGTAAAAAGGAATGGAATACTAAAAGGGATTTATTTAAATACACTTGCATTCACAAGTGTAGTGTATAACCGGAAGACCACAGACACGTTTTACCAAGTATTTCATTCGGTAGCGTGCTTATTTCACATGGTTTCTGCACAAAAGTCAATTCTCTTATGCAGACACAAAGGTGAGTCATGGCATTAATTGGTGAATCTGACCAGCAGGATTTAAAAAATATTCACTAAGAGATTGATTCTGAGGACAGATCAGTAGGTTTGGGCAAGAGAAAGCAAAAAATTATATTAAATATATACAATATACTATAAATATAGTACACTCCCGGAACAATCTTGTCAGTATATTTAACACACACACACATGCATAAGTTTCAGTTGTTGTCATATAACGGGTTTTCAATAAATAATATGTCCTAAATTGTTTCCTTGAATGGCGGGCGCGTTATTTATGACTGGTGGTTTCCCATCATTCATCCATGTCTGCTGGTGAATACATTTGATTGAGGTTGAAGGTCAAACCCACGAACCATTGATGAATTTCCAATGGACTTTAGGTCATTTATTTCCAAGTTTCATTAAATATGCACCATTCCTCACTCCCCAGAGACTTTCTATATGAACCGCTGAGCAAAGTGAAAGAGAATAGCCTCATAATCCCACGGCAGGGGGGGTATGAGGTGGTATTTTTTAGAAAGACGCGACATTTTCAGGTCGGCCAGACACGGTGCGTGCACTTCTAAAAAAGGACCGCTCTGACAACGTCTCCGTGGAATTCCCTAAGTCGGGAAGGTCCTTGACTCACTGCCTTCTTCTCCTTCTCCTCTTCTCCTTCCTCTGTGTTCCACACTTGGTAAAAGAAGAGTTCTGATTATAACCTACGGAGAATCCGGCCTCTAGATTGGTTGGACTTTCCCAATTGCACTGACGTTGTTGGTTTTTTGCTTTTTACAAAAGCCTTTTTTGTTGTTGTTTACAGTGTGCGCAACAGAAGGGGGGATGTTCTGTTGTGTCATTCCTGTGTGTGCGTGTGTGGTTTACTATACAGAGATACTAAGTGGGCTCACTGCTGAGGCAAAGCAGCACAGAGGACACACACACACACACACACTCCATTACATCTGCAGCAGCAGTTGGCGTCTGCTGTCATCCCTGCCTGACCCACTTCGTTGGTTTCTGAAATGGGAGACGGCCTTTTGCAGCCAGGTGAAAGGTGGGAGAACCCCTGCACGTTGCTTCTGGAACAAAAGCAGATACGGCAGAGAAAGCCGATGTACTGTATCCCGCCCCCCCCATTACTCTTACATCAAAAACATCTCTTAGGTCTCAACAATAACCCCATGGCTCTGAAGGCTGAGCAATGGCGCGCTCTAGATCACGTGTGCTAATCTGATCCGAACCATCTGAACAGTCTGATCCGTGTAACGAGATCTAATGATACGATGGTCTAATCTGGTGAGATGATCAAAAACCAAAGCGCCGGGATTACGGCCGAGCCCCAGCTGGATGTGCCCCCGGCTCACTTACCGGGTTAGAGTGTAATAGGATTTATAAAGCGCAGATCTAATCCCTTAAAAAAACAAAAAATCTGTATGATTAGTGGCTCCCCATCTGCTAGAAATACACTTTTTTTAAACGTTGTTCATCTAGATCTATGGGAGCTGTGCTTTCACAAATAGCCCCGTCATAACGTTACGTGTTTAGAGGAAAAAATGAGTATTGATTTTTTTGTATGTTTTTGTTTCAACTTTGACCAAAACGGCCCGCGCTGAAAAACACAATGTGAGTCCAACCTACAACAGTCCATGGCAATTGCTCATTAAGTGTCTCACAAAAGCTTTACTCAAAGCTGAAGCGAATGCAGTGATGGAGTACATCTCGAACACCTCCGCTCCCTCATCCCAACGGATCTCCCTGGGAACCTGAGCTGTTCGGCCCTTTCCTCTGCACGATCAGCTGCCACAAAAAGGGTCCGGTACCTCCCTTCCTCCTCTGGGAGACGAAGACGAGCATGCTCATTTTACCGCGACACATGCAAATATTATCCGGTAAGGGGGGAGGCTTTAATGGTAATGGTGTCCAAAAGAGAAGTAGAGAATAAAAGTCGGGGGCCACTGGTATGCGAACAGTATTTTCAGCAATGCAGAGATCACTTGGAGATTTTCCTAGTTGTCATGCGAGGGGGGAAATTAACGGAGTCGATTCCCATCAGGGCCACTATGCACAAATAACACAGGACGGAAGCAAAACAGAGTGCTCGTCCTGTGTTCTTGTTAGAATGAGTATTTTAGTCCTAATTCTAACAACGGCTTCCCCGCTTTGATTTTAATTTAACTTCTAAGGGTGGTTCTTATTAAAGCCTCCTCGAGGCTAACAATGGGGAAGACTCTGTTCCACCGGATTATCATCCCTGCTCTGAGGAGCTTGGGGAGGGCCGCGAGTCGCTCTGCGAAATGGCCCCATTGCAGGTGTGATGCTGTCGGGTCTCATCAGGAAGGGCCCGCGCGGGTTGACTTCACATATATCTGACATACAGATGTATGTGGGACACATGGCAACAGCCCCCCTCCCTTCTAGTCCTCAATGCCACGCCGAAAAAAAGAATGTTATGTTTGTAAGTCTTCTTTTCCATCACCATAAACAGACATTCCCCCTCATAAAAAGAAAAACTATTCACATCAGTCCACAGCTGCTGGACACGATGTTCTCATGAGCAAATGTCTAGAACCTGACCGATGCACAGATGTAACCAGATGTGTAATCTAACAGATGTAATACATCTAAGGACTATTGAAGGCACATCACCAATGCGTGGTAAGGAGATGGACGATAGAGACACTATACAAATTTGTCTCAATAAGATGAAAGATTAAACAACTAGTTGCTTTGCTAAGAAATGGGGGAAAAAAAGTTTTAGTAATGCCGGTTTGTGCAAGCGGTGTTCAACCGGTTGGGAGTTACAGTGAGCGCGGCGCAACAGGTTTAATACCTGATGATTCCAAGAGAAGGAGTCACCTTCCATCATTCTCTAAGGGGAGTTAATGTAATTTCTTTCCTAAATGAATTATCCTAATTAATTGTGTGTGTGTGTGTGTGTGTGTGTGTGTGTGTGTGTGTGTGTGTGTGTGTGTGTGTGTGTGTGTGTGTGTGTGTGTGTGTGAAATAGTATGTCCCCAGATCGCCATATTTGAGGAAACAAATAATTTGTGGCATTTTCACAAGCGAAACAAATATCAGCAGGAGCCCAGAGGGAACCACTGGAAGCCCTAAAAATGTATGCAAGAAAAAATATGTTTGAAAGCCGGGAAATTTTGATGATTCTTTTGCCTGTAAGTGAATGACTTTCGTTTCGTGTACAGAGCGGCTTGGAAAATCCTAATTGCGCTTAATTGTTTTTTTAAAAGCTTTTGATGGTGACTCGTCCGGACCTGCGGATGAATGTGAATCGGAGGCATTTGAACACACAAAACACAACGCTCTCTTCCCCCCTCCTTCTATTTAACTTGTTTTGCACGGAAGTAAAGGAGTAATAAATCCTCCATTATCACACCGCGTAAAACCGCATAGGTGCCAAAGCCGCTTGTCAAAGGCCCGATAACAACCATCAACCAGTGGCTGTTGAACGTATGCACATGTTTTTTTTTTTATATACGCTCTGCGCCAAAATAAAGTACACTTAAGTTCCCCTTCACACCTTGTCTCCGTAGTCTCCGCTTCCTGAGGCCGAAGATGCGCACTTTAGAGAAGATGTCGACCAGGTTCCCATTGCAGAGCCCCTTGTTCTTGTTGGGGCTCTTCCTCCGTCGGTTGGTGGCGGGCCGGTCTAGATGCTGCTCCCGCGCCTGTCTCTTCTGTCTGATCAGCCCGCTCGCGATGGCCGCGGCCATGGCTCAACAAAAATATTTTGCCACAACCTGCTGAGGTCCAGTCTGCGCACGGCGCGTCCAGACGAACACAAACAGGCCGCCTCTCGGAGCTCGCAGCCCGGGTCACAGTCCCATGGTGGCGGCTAAGTGGTCCGTTCCGTGGTGTGAAATGTCAAATATGTTTTAGTTGTTTTTTTTAGCAGCTGGGTTTCTTTTTTTTTCTCCAAATACTACATGGTAATATTAAATCAGCTTTCACCGTCACTCGAAATATTGTTGGACATGATGGAGGGAAAAAAAAGGAGATCAGTTCATGCGTAATTCCACACATGCATCAGCAGCCATAGTCTTGATGAAGAGCTATGCCCAACTCAACGCGCAACGAGACCTCAGAGGAGTATTCATACCTGCACGCTGGTGTTTTAGCTCATTGTCTGTGACATGTTCTGTGGCGTCGCCTCCTTTTAATGTCCGATACCGTCTGCGGCGTCCTCGCGGCAAATTTCACCTATAATCTTTTCCCTTCTTTTCGCCCCCGATTTTCTCCTCCTCCTCTTCCCAGACGAGGTTGCTCTAACAGAAGTCGCCGTTTGGGTAAAGCGGCGCGGGGACAGCCTGTGCATGTGAACCGCCGGCAAATCGAGCGGACGCAGGCGCCTCCTATGAGCGAGGATCCCCGCTCGAGCGGAGGACCCGCGGCGGTGCCACGGGGGCGAACGAACTCCCCAAGTTTGCGAGAGGCAAAACGCGACGGCGACCCCGCGGTGACGGATCACACATTTGGAAATGGAGAAGAAGAAAAAAGAATACGCGAACGTGGTGGGGTTATAAACCGACGCAGCACAGGCTCAAATCAACGCAAACTTGTATTCCGACAGCTGGCCGATCTGCCCGGATAATGTCCTCAAAAACACAGATGTCCTCGCCGTATTCCACACTGGTACCAGGGTGCGAGATAACCGAGGAGGAAAAGGCTAAACATCGCCAAAGATGATTCAAATCCTGGGGAGGTGACGTCCGCATTGTGTGACAAGCTGCATACAAATTCATAAACTTAACCGCCCCCACCCCCGGGCGATCCTCCTATAGAGCGCACGGCGGTGGGAGATGCATGTATGGTGGTCGGCGCGTAAAGGGAATGGGGGGAAGTAACCCTACTGACGCGCGGCACAATTTATTTTCCCACGCTCAAAGAGAAAAAAAGAAAAATAGACCGGAAGCTGTGATCGCCCACCTCAGTCTGTCTACCCCCCGATCAACAACCCCTTCCCATCAACAAGTCCCCAACACTCGTTTGCACACGCCTGAGGGAGAGGATGCCCTCCCCCAGCACGCCGTCCCTCTCGACCGAGAAGGGGACCAAGCCGCCGGGTTAGATGATTACATTTACTTTAAATTAATAACTGAAATTCCGCGCGGAAATGACGGTGAAATTTCGCATTTACCTTAAAAAGTTTAAATTGAATCGAGAAGATGAAGTATTAGAACACTTTATGTTCTACTGCGAAGGTGAAATCGCTCCATTTGCCGCGTGAATCCGGTTTCAGGACCGCGGACAGCGCGACAAATTTCAGGCCAAGCAAAACGACGGAGTGGAAAACCTTTCATTCAATATTTACTTGAAAGACCACAATGCAAGTGGGAGATCAGCTTCATGCTCCACTCCACATGATTCCTGATATCTCACCGATGGCGAATCGGAGAAGTCGGTGCAGACAATAAAAACCAACGAAAGACAAAATAACCCTTTTTCATATTTTTTTAAGGGGGGGTAATATCGTCTAAGTCTCATTCGCAGGCACAGAGAATGAAACTCAAGGGGGCCATCTGCCGTTTGTGAGTGTAATTAAACATTTGGGGCTCGTAGGGGGACTGCAGCGGCGCGTGGCATTGCCCCATTGGTGTGCGCTCAGTCTGGTCCGCACTCCAGACGCACCTGTTGATATCCAGCTGTCGACCCCCCCGCACGTGAGACTACAGTATGGGTTGCTCTATTGCTATTGAGGGATCACTCTTTCATTATTTTCCATTACTAGAAGAAGAAAAAAACAGTAGATATTATGAACAAACAAACCGAACGATGGAATGAATACCGAATATACGGCATGTATACGCTTTATCCAATTCACAATAATCCTGCTATTTAAAGGCGTGCTTGCTTAGCCATGTGAACGCAGTGACCAGGTGCCTCCCCCTCCACCCTCATCGGCTCATCCCCTCGAGCTCCGACTGCGGATGCACATCCATGGTCCCGTTGTTGGTGCAGAAGCCGCCCGCCCCGCCGGCGCTGCAGGAGACACTGCAGTTAACGCTCCAACCAGCAGCGGACACTGTCAGCTCAGGAACGGTCCCCTCAGCCGCAGCACTGCAGAGCAGCACCGTCACAGCAGCCTCAAGCTCGTGAATCAGGGAGACTTTCTAGAGCTCAGCTCAGCCTGTTAGAGTCAAGCACAGGTGGGCTACTAGATTCAAGTTCCAAAATATGAAATATAATCCTGGTTTAGCAAAAGCAGGACAACGTTGGACTGTGTTTACTTTGCTTTTTAAGACTACTAAGTGCATGTTTTGGATCATTACGATTATACTTTTTTCCATCATGACATGGCCAGCTTTTTTTCCCAGTCGGTTGAGATAGGGACTTCAAGCATGAGCTCAACATATATGAAATAAAGCCTTAAAGTGTTACAAATTAAGTGCACGCTGAAAGTATAGCATTATTATCTCGTAGGATTTTTCAACAGAAGCGCACTGGTGGGTTTCAATAAAAAAGAAAAAAGTGAAGCAAGGAACAACAAAAAAAACACATTGAGCTGGATTTAGAATCTGGGATTGTGTGTTGCAGAGGAGGCTTTGCACGGCTGGCATTACCCGGCATGAGGTTGAAAGCATGAACGGTCAGAGAAGCTCTCCACACTTAGCACAGACATGCACAAGTCTCAACACAGCACAGCTCCGGCAGCAAGGATAACGACCCGAAACCATGAGAATGCTCTCATATCAAAGATACTACAATGCTGGTGTCAAAATGCACTTCAAAACCCTGAGAAATATCAGCTGTCAACCACAAAAAAGGAGGGCGCACATACCTACATTTTTTTTCCTCCTACATGTGAATGAACGAGAGTCCATGGTTGTCCCATTTGAAAAGCCCCTTGTACTTCTAATGCCCCTATTTATACTGCCCCACCTATAGGACCTAACGTGGTTAGGGCAAACTGACAGTCTGCCCCGAGCTGTACGCGTTCATTTGTCTGCAAACACTTTAAACACTTTAAATCCTTTAAGTTGGAGGAGAAAGGCATTTTGATTAACGCACTTGGACATTTTCGTCTCTGACTAAACAAAAGTGGACTCAACGTTGCCTCAGGGTTAGATTTCCAGATACTAGCCTGCTGCAAAGAAGACACGCGCACAGCGCTGTGCAGATCTGCTTTTCTGTTATGAATACAATGTTGACACGTGAAAGAACCACATAGGCCCTAATGTGCCACGCACAGTGGGCCTGTATGTGGAAGCCACGGGAGACCTAAAAATTCAACAAAGCGAAATCTGATGCAGACCCGCAGAGCCACGGCTCCATCGGGTCGGTTAATCCAATCTCCTTGGTGGAAATTGCATTACCGTTAGTCAGATGTTTTGGTGCCGAGAGAGAGCAAATGTCGCCCAATGGAACCGGGATAAACAAACCATTTGATTATTGCTATTACTTTGCCTCAGGCCCTTGTTCTTTTCCCACCCACCCTGATGGTGGAATAAACAACCCCAAAAAAAAACATTAGGTGTGATTCAGAACTTTACAGACCCAGTGAAATAATCGAAAAAGGCTTTCATTGCTGGAATTGTATTACATCTCATTACCAAAGTTGGAGAGTTAATTCAATTTCAGATGAGTAATGATTTTTCATGTAATTTCCTTTTATCCCTCAAATATCACAAATCTACTGAAGCCGTAAAAGCTTAGTGAGCCCTCACACAGGGTGTGAGTGTCTACAGTGTGTGTGTGTGTGTGTGTGTGTGTCATAAATATTTTTAATGAGTCTAATAGTTTGGGCTAATCAGAGAGCTAAGACATACGAGTGTGCGTCGAGAGCTTGTGAAGGAGGAACGAAGAGCTTTCGTTAAACGGTCACAAATGAAGAGTGCATGACGGTGGGGCCGTGGAGCTGGGCCAGAGAGTTCATGTATATTCATGTGTTCACACATGCATGTATGGGTCATATGACTATGCCGCGAGACCTTCTTCAGTGAAGCATTTTTGCCAAACTCGAGCCTTGAAAACAACAGTCCCCCTAAGTCACAATGACAACATCCACTTCTTGTAAAGTCAAATATTGAGATCTGAAAGGTTACCAAAGGTAGCCAATATGCCTGAATTAATTTTGGGAAAATGCGTCAAGGATTATCTACAAAAGTAATATTTGGAATGATGGAGCTATTAAATATATTGAGTCTTGGGTTTGATAAGAAATACAGCGCGGCCGTGCAGAATGAGATTATTCTAACTCCTTGCTTTAAGGGCAAACTGTTCCACAGCGGTGGCAAAGCCTCCCTCCCCCTCGGGATGTTGACTGGATAATAATATTTCAATATTCAATGAACATGTAAATGGTTTTTTTTTAAAAGGAGCTGTGACATGAAGGCCTAGCATTCATTTCCCAGTGTCCAAGGCCTTCCTACACTATTGCCCCTCCGTTGAGAGGCTCTGGAGCTATTTCCTGCAGCAGTGTGATAACGCAGGAGTGAATGAAGGAATAAATGAGCTCGCTAGGGGTGATCAAAGGAGAAACAAACCTTAAGTGTTGCTTTATCGCCAACGTGATGCCTCCTGCTGCACTCTCAATGAATAATATATTAGAAGAGCATAGAAAAAAAGAACAACCCTGGAGGGATTCAGTTCCAAACAACCGCAGGAGCAGATGCACTACGTCTCTGCTCGCAGTCCCGGAAATGGTTCACCCCCCCCCGCAGCGCGTCATGAGAACATATGAATGGACATCACATAATCGCCGCCAGGTGCAAATAAAGGGCCACGGGAGAATCTTTACAGGCCACGTTAGAACATCTCTTTCCCCTCCCGATTAGATTTGGGCCCGAGGTGTGAAGTCCACCAACAGGGACATTAATGAAACTCCGCTCACAAAAAGCCCATTCATGTCGGTGGACTGCGTGGCACCAAAAACAGCTGCTGTGCGCATGTCCCCCTGCCAGGGAACACAAAAAAGGGAGGATGTGATGCTGAATTGTAGGTTTCTTGATTGAATTGCGAGTTTCCATGACAACAAGGCCAAAATAACAACCTAATGAAGACGTCTTGCATTGGAAAGGTCAGTACATGGGGCGGGGGGGCTTGTTTTTTGCCATTGGCTCCGACTTCTTTTTAAAGGAAACCTGATTACAGCCAGAGAAGATGGAGCATGAATTGGGGTCAAGTGTCGTGATTAAAGACGGCCCTGCGGCTCCTCGCCAGGGGCGATTGGATGACTAGCCCGAATCTCCGAAAAAAAAACCTGCCCGGTTACAAAGTGCAGCATTTGGGGTGAAGCAAAACGACAATGTCTTTAAAGATGCTTGATGTTAGCAAAGACTGAGGAGTCCATGTGCAGCACACTCACACTCCTCTCTCTCTTTCTCTCTTCCTCTCTCCCTCTCTCTCACACACACACACACACACACACACACACGCTGCTCCATCCTTGGATCCTATTTTAAGTCTGCAGCAGTGACGGAATGTGCCGCGTCAGCACCACTGCAGAACGAGCTTCCTTGGAGAAGCCCCGGGCAGTTCGGGAGAATACCAATTAGTCCAAAGCCCTTTGCAAAGGCACTTCCTTTGGAGCTGAAGGTTGACAACAACCGTGTATATGAGTGCCGGTGTATAAAAGGTGTGTGCGTGTTACTTGTTATTTTGAACTGACCAAATGTGCCGGCTGAGTGGGTGGGTAAGGAAAGACCATGAGCATGTGCATGTCAACTTGCAGATGCATATCGCGTATAGGTTAGTGGGATCATATTAATGAGGGTGTGATGCAGGTGAAGGAATTAATAGGCTTGATAGAATGGTAATGAGGGTGCTGTTGGGTCATTGGCTCCCTGTCAAGCTGCAGACCACAGACTATATCTGATATGAATGCAGATATCAGACCCCACAGGTCCCTCAGACTCATTACTGCTAATGGCTAAATGCCACTTTACCAGAATCACTTCACATTCAAAGAAGCAGGTTGTCCTCTTCTTACAGTTCTCTTCCTCATGAAAGAGGAACAGACAACTAAAATGGATGCAATATGTCCATTTTAGGTAAAGGAAATCATTTTACGCTAAGAAGCACACAATGTTCACAACACAATTTGAGTTTGTACAGAAACCGTTACTGTGCTATTCATACCAACTAATTGAACCCATTTAACTGTGTCCTATGTCGACCGCTGTTTCAAAAACTCAACTTAGCATTTTGGTCGTTGTCATCTTGGATTTGGGAAAACCTCATGTTGAATTTTTGCCGCGAGTAAACGGAAGCGACCATATTTGGACTGCAAAAGAGGGATAAAGGGATGCCATATACTGCTCTGATAGCAACCTGTCAAT